ACTCTTTCCTATGTTAAATACTATTCAACACGTATTACCTGGATACAGTTTGAAACTTCTAAAATTGCTCTCAAGTGTGAAGAATTACAGATCATGGGAATTACAGATATGAATTTACCTGTAGGACTTGCTCTGTACCATTTACATTTCAGTAAGTCCTCCAAACATTTTTACTTAGTTAATATTAATAACTTGGCATATATAATATAAATAATATACAATTGTAAATATATACAATACACAATAATGTACAATTTTACAGAGTACTGAGTGTGCTCTTAGATTGAAAACACCTTTATTTTTCCTGAAATTTTCTACAAAGATCTTGATTCATACATGAACTTGTCAGGTTTGTCAAACAGCATGATATTTCCTCACTGCTTCTAATGCACTCTCTTCAACATAGTTTCCTTACATCTTAAAATAAAATCAATCATTTTTATAACACAACGTATATTAGAGTAAATTTGATCATTTATGTAAAGTATATTCGTGCTTCATCCTAAAGACAAAACATCAACAGTGCTTCCCCTTTCTTTAAACATCTTCTTCCCCTGAGATACTGTTTGACACGCTGCACTGGAAGAATGCAGTGCTTTCCCAACTGCAAGCAAAGCAGTCAGACAGGGCAGCAGGAGAGGATTTGCCAAAAAATCTTTTGAAAAATCCACTTCTTTTGCATAATCAAATCCTCTTGTGGGCTGGAATCAATGGCTCATGGCAATGTCTCTAATGGTTTAAGATGGGAGAAGTTTATCTTTCAGAAGAAATAATAATAAAAAAATCTATCTGAATGGATTTATAGACAAATTTTTCATTCCCTGGGGTCAAGTTTCTGCTTGCAATACACTAGTAGAATTTTCTAGATAAAAATTCATCTTTTCAGTGAGTTTATACTCTTACTCAGATCTTCTATTTCATCATTCATTTTTTAACAGATCAACATCTAATGTACTGAACGCAGGTTGAAAGACATGGAGAACTCTCAAGAAGCCTTTTTATTATGAGACTATTATGAAATTACCTACATTCTAACAATGGTGAAATTTTGCAGTAAGGGTTGTCTAAAGCATGTATATCAGCAGAGATGTCATCAACATCCCATACAAGTGTCCACCTCAAAAATGAACATGAGTGTTCATGAGTAACCATTTACCATACCAATGGGGATTCACATAAAACCTTCTGTTTTAAGGAAAATACTAATGTAACAGCTCTGGGGGTATCTTTGTGCTACTGATGCTGTTTTAGTAACAATTAAAGCCTTGAGTAAGGATTATTAATGGTTTTCCATAGGTCTTAAGATGATAATTGTGGCTATTTGGTTCAACCACTGCCTGAGTTTCACAGGAAAATCTTGGGACCACACCTTCTTTCCTTATTTTCAGACTGGAATTTTTCATGTATTTGAGAATCACTATTATGGCTCCTCTTTCGTAGACTTTTCCAATTCTTTCACTTTTCCTTGTGGATCTTAACTTTAGACTTTCATATTAAGAATTTCATATTAAAGACTGCAAAACTGTTCTGCTACCTTCCTCTAAAATTGCACCCTGAAACTGAAACAGATCTATTTCTAGCAAAATTTTCATGGAACTGATATGCTTCCACAAAAACTTTCTTTAAAAGCAGAGCAAAGCATCAACAAATAGCTAAAATACTGTAACTATCTTTCTGAATAGAATACAATGCCTGTCTTAGGAATTGCTGAAACTTGAATATCAAGCAACTAGTGCAGCTTGTATTTATAGTGGGTCCCCACAATGCAAGGCATTTGTTTCAAGAATCCAGATTAAAGTATTCTGTTTAGTTTTTCCCTTTACTATGATCAACACAATCCCAAATGGAAAAAGCTGGGAAATTGGTAACTGAAATGCCAGTGTCAGGTTTGTATTAAATTCAACTCAGTAGTTCATATAATTTATTTCTGTCACTTGGATAGATGGGCAGCCTCACCCGTTAGTCTGCTAACATAAAGATGGACCAACACTCCTGTAATGCATTTCTCCATGTAACAGCCCTGCTTCACTTCATCTGGAAGGATGCTCCAGCGAAACACTGTCCAAACATACATCAACAAACCAAAAATTTTCCCAAACGTATTGATTCTGAATTTATGAGACACTCACTTGTTACAAGCATCCCTAAACAATAAGCAAAGACCTGAAGGGATGATAGTTTTATGGTTGCTGTAACAAAATTATGTACCCATATTTCTGTATTCAGATGTATTCAACTTTTTCAAACAGCACTATAAAATTCAATATAGAAAACTTTTCCAGACTGTTTTCTGCAGACACTTCTGATCTAATATAACAACAAAAAGCTGTAAGTAAATATTAAGATACCAGTTATGAAGTAATTAAATTGAACACTTCCAGGTTATTTTAATTCAGAAGTGACTAGACTTAAATGCTTGAAGCCATGGATTATTCACACTGCTTTGACACATACAGTAATGCAAATATTTTTACAAACTATAAATGGCAGTATGAGTTAGTTCACATTTCTAATTAATACATACATTCAGCCTGAGATGTAAATCCTATGTGCAGCAGATGAAAATGAGAAGCTTAGGTATCTTAGAAAAGGTTAAAAATCTGCCTCCAGTAACACAGGTTTCACACTTTGTGATATGAAGTTGCCAACACTATATTAAAAATTTTAAAAAAAAAACCACTATAGGACCACATCCACAAGATTTGTTATGTGTCCCTGACTCTGCTGTAGCTGGGAGCTCCATGTGTTTTGATACATTTTTCTTCACATTATCTTTGTAAGATAATAGCACTTTACTGGTTGGGAATTGATGAAGAGGGGTCTTGTCCAACCCCACACAAGGTCAGTGAATTCGCATCTCTCACTATCAATCACTCAGATCACTGAACCAGCTTTTTTTTCTTACTTTGTACAATGCATCTGGATAGGAGAGCAGGGTTGAGAAAATAACTGAAATGGATATCAGGGAACATGGCAGTGATGGAAGAAAGCTGGTCTTCAAACAACTTATGTACAAACATCTTTTTATAAACAAGTCTTTTGCATCCTGATCAGTCTTTTCTTATCTAGCTTTTATCTGGGTGGCATGAGCATCAGATAACCTGCAGAAGCAAAGAACTTCAGTATTTTCAGCTCCTCTTCCAAAACAATTAATTAACCCTTGATTTTCTTCTCACCTGTGTTCCAGTAGGAAACATTCTTTGTGAATTAACAGAATCATAGAATGGTTTGGGTTGGAAGGGATCTTGAAGATTATTTAGTTCAAATCGCCCTGCATGGGCAGGGAAACCTCCCAACAGATCAGGTTGCTCAGAGCCCCATCCAAGCTGCCCTTGAACACTTCCAAGGGTGGGGCTTCCACAACTTCCCTGGGCAACCTGCTCCAGTGCCTTACCACAATCACACTAAAGGTGTGTGGCTCTTCTATTGAGTGACAGAATGGAAAGGAGAATTTGTCAGACCAAAAATATTTTGTCTGAAATAGAGCTGGTTGAAATATTTTATTACCAGTTCCTTTTCTTACTAAAACATGCCTTCCTGTAAAAAAAAAAAACAACACGCTTTCAGCACTACTCTATTTTTTCCTTTGATTTCCATGCATATTTCTCTTATCCTATGTAATTTTTTCCCATTTAAATACACATTGTTATCTTTTTCAGTGAAGAAGCTGGGTGGAAAAACTAAAGTATTAATTTTCAGAAATTTTATTTCATTTGAAACTTACCTTTAAGAAACAATATATAGAGATTTTATTTCTGTTCTTGAGGCTGAGCTACAGCAAGCAAGATGTTTAGCTCCTCTGCTATGAGACAAAACCTGGACCTAGCTGTTCCCATACAGCTGTCAACAGAAAAGAGTGGGAACTGCATTTAACTGTGGTGGTTATCTTAATACTGTTGCACCTGGATAAGGACTAATAAGGACTAAAGAATGGGCACAAAAGCAACTAGAAGTTGTCCCCTGAAGCCTCAGTTAAGCACTCTGGAATACTTCTGTCCAAATTTTTTTTTATTTTCTTGATAATAAAATCAGGGATTGATCAGCACTGCTACCCAGGAAAAGGGACATTTCAAATGTTGTAACACGGCTCTGCTTTAATTTCATTATTTTTGGTTGACATAGAAAATTCAACCAAGCCATTCCCAACTAACTGCAGGAAACCATCTTCACTTCAATGGAGAAATGGTTGTGCCTGTTTTGAACATTCCTTTGAAAAATATTCAAGATGAAATTTTGTGTCCTGTTCAATCTCTCACCACACCGACAAACACTTCTAATTATAAATGGTCTATTTGAATTATAGACTCCTAATAGAATATGGATTGCAAATACAGTAAATTTCATAGCAAAAATAAAATATTTTAAAAGAAGGCCCACAGTTATGTAATGCCACTTCACATATATTGGCAAATTGTTAGAATTTTCTGGCATTTGCAGGTCTTGTGCAGCACTCAAAATATAATCCTCATGTTTTTTCATTTCCCCTTAAAGAATACTTACACAAAGGTCAAATTTTT